CTCCTATCAGTACTTCTGCTATTATCTTGGCTGCAGGCTTGATTAAAATTTCGCCAATGGTTTCTGCTGCATTACATTTTGCAATTAAAAGTGACATGCGATCTTAGCTTCTAGCATTTTTTTATTGTCACTTCCTTTCACACTCGCATTACTTTTGGAGATTGATTTAAATCCTTAAGTTTGTTTTCAAAAAAAATCTATGGGTTTATCTTTGTACTGATTATGGTTTGTCTCAAAATGGCACTTTAAGTTGAATGGTTTCATACTTTCGTTTGTCAGATTTTGAAAACAAATTACGCAAAGTGGAAAAGGCTGATTTTCATCTCTTGTCCATAAGAATCCAAATTTAAGATATTCTTTGTCGTACTTGCAATATTTCCTTGCTTTTTTCTTAATAGCATCTTTCAGAATTGAAGTTGATTCATCATTAATTTCTTTACTTCCTGCTAGTTGATTGCTACTATAATCATTGCTTTCTGTTGGTGTAGTTGTTCCAGATTTGAACCAGTGATCCATAACTTATGTTAGGGATAAAAATTATATTTTATAAAAATAACCAAAATCAGTGGGACTCTTGCCATCTCACGCCTCACAAGACTGTCTTGACCTGACTCATGAGAATATAAAATTAGGCTCAGCTAATCTCAGTGCAGTGCAGTGCAGTGCATATTCCCACCAAACTCTTCCTGTACCCGGGGGGTATGCATACCACACTTTAGGAAACACCTCTAAACCATGAAATTTTTGCTGAATGGGTAAGATACAAAGTTTAGGAAACAAAAAGTTGCATTTGGCAAATTTTAAAGGAAATAGTAGCTCAGTGAGTAAGACAGAGTCAAATTGTGCTTTAAGAAAAGATGAAAGAAGGTAATATCTGAATGCAGTTATCTGACATTTTTATAAAACAGGGTGTCTCATCCAAATGATAACATCTTTCTCAAAATTTTAACTTAATGCTTTCCACTGTGTTCTGTAAGAAGACTATTATTATAGAAGATATCCTCTATCTTCTGTAAAAAGGTACAGTAAAATTAAGTAAAGTTTTCATCTGTTTTATGTGTTTAATATTGTATTATATTTTTGTTTTGGTTTTCACTGTTGTTTAGATTATGCACTTGTGCACAGATTACTGTTGTCAAGTTGTTAAGGGAGAAATCATTTGTAGTCAAGGAACGTATCAAACCATTTTACATTAATTCCTATGGCACCTTTTAGTTGTGAACATTTTAAATATACTGCATTACTTTTCTTATCCATTTAGCAATATAATTTTATTGAATTATCTTAATATCTCAATTTTATTTTATGTACTGATCTATATAGTAGTTATTTATGGAATTTTTTTTTAATATTGGATGTATATATATTTGTCTTTTCTAGTTTATACAAGCTCAATAATCAACAGAATGCCATAAAGCGAAATTCAGAAGTTAGGATGACTTGATAAAGATATTTAATTTGTAAAATATGCTTTGTTAATTGAAAAATGTGCATTATTATTCCTGACTTAGAAGATTGTGCACTGTTATGGACTTTTTATTAGAAATTAATGTACTCTAATGAAACTCTTTCAGAAAATTACTATATGTGTAATGTATGTGCAAGAAATACGATCCTGATTAGTTATAGGAAAATATTGTAATTAAAATAACAGATTAGAATTTTTATATTTTGTTAAACACAACGGGAATAAGAAATCATATATATGTACCATATATACAAAACTCCTTACCCAGCCTTTATTTCCACAACTATTGCTCGTACATAAATAGTTCCAGTTACCAAAAATATTTTAAAGGGCACATATATTCATGTTTTGACAATTCAAATTTTTAAATATCAGTTTTATATAAATTACGAAATTTACCTTTTTATGTGTTCTTCTCTTCTCTTCTCTATGCTTAAGTCTAAGAAAATTTAATATGTATTATATAAAAAAAGAGATTTGACTCCTATATAACATAAATTGACCAAAATAATTTAATTTCAAAATTTGAGATGGGATATCATTTGGCACTTGCCATGAAAAGGTCAGGTAATAAATTGGAAGTTGATTTTTCTTTTAAATGTCATTCAATGAAATTCTTTTATGATTTACTAGTATAAGACATTCTTTAGTTTGTGATTTCTTTATAATTGGTATGCCAAAATCTTTATAATTGGTATGCCAAATCTTAACACAAGCAGTTTCAAAGTTTACAAATACTAAAAATTTTTATTAATTTTTTCTGAAGTTTGGTAACTTTAAAATCATATTCTAATAATACAAAATATTTATTAAATTAGAAATAAATATGAATTTGCTATGTGCCAGTACTGAAGCCTATCAGTGTTAGCCAAAACACAAATATTCTGTGAAAAAATTTTCTTTTTGGAAAGTAACATATTGATTAATGCTTTTCATGACAGTCTGCATAGACATGTAACCTATTACTATCACTTAACTTAACTTACACTTAACTACACTACTTACACTTAACCTATTACTATCAGAAAACTTTTTAATTTTTATTTTTAGTTCTATGTAAATGCTTTGTTCTTAAATTTATGTATGGTCTCTGAATTGATTTCTAAATTTAAAATGAAATAATATCTTAGTAAATTGTTGCCATACAAAATTTACTTTTCCTGTTTCTTATTTTTTATAAAGAGAAAAACTTTCCTAAACATAGGTATGAGGAATCATACATATAAGATGTTAGATATCAAGATTTTTACAAAATTGTTATTTTTAAATGACAAAACATGAATATTTTCTCCATTTAAAACATTTTTATAATCGGAAATGTACATCTACAACCGGTGGTTGCAAAAATAAAAAATGAAGCCCAGGTAAAGAGTTTTATGGACAGAATGTATGTATGTATGTGTACATATGCACATGTATGTATGTATATCTGTGTGTGCGTGTATATATATATATGTGTGTGTGTGTGTGTGTGTAAGATATAACAAAATATGGTGGCTGCTTTAAAAAATAATTGGCAACCTGAAAATCAACATTCTAGATTTGGTGCTCCTCCCCCTAAATTCATCTTTTCTCCCAAATTATGTAACACTGCTTGAAAAAGGTAACTAAAACTAATACTGACCAATCATAGCTTAGAATACTCTCTGCACGTACAAAGGTATAAATGCTGAGTCATGAGAACTATGCTATGCTTCCTTTTTTTCCTGACTTCTGCCATGCAAACAGATCTGTGCCACTAATGCTTCCCTCTTAAAATGACATCATAGCTTTTATCTATGTATATAAGAATTATTTGTATTCAAATATGGCCGAAAAGTAATTTGTATGCCAAAGAAATAATTTTTGATATGCCTAAAAATAGTGATTATGATTTGCCAAAATTAGTTTTGTCAACGTCTTATTCCTGCCTACCACCCAGCCATGCCTACAGCCAGAAGTTAAAGACACCGGATTCATGACTGCGCACTTACTGATATTACATATTATATATATATATATATATATACAGGGTGATTCTAAATCGTTTTTACAAATTAAAAGGGGTGATAGTACTCATCCAGATGAGCAATAATTACCATAGAACATAGGGTCACATTCGACTCTGAGAGGCAGAAAAAAGGAATATTAGAATTCCAACTTGAACTTACAACAGTATTGGGAGAGTGAAGGAATGAGACCAAAGGTTGCACAATCAGTTTAGTGGAAAACTCACAGAGAGTGTACAAAATGAATAAAAGCCAAAACTTGCCGATCGAAAGTTAATTCGAGCTCAGACTTTGATAGCAAACACTCGAATGCACATCTTTGGTTGACGAGGTCTCAACCTCGCAAACGATTGCAACAAGTTAATTATCTAAACTATTTATTAAGAAGAAATTATCTATTGGGGGAAAACTGCTACAGTGATGTCACATATTCAAGGTAGCAGTTTTTCCCCATTTTCTATTCTATTCTTCTGGACTTACTGCGTCTTTTATGGGACACGAAGTTCTGACAGCCGGAACAGAATATGAACTTTTTGTGCTAATCTCAGCATACAGCGGAAGTTGGAATTAGTTGATAATATTCAGCCCTTGATTAGATAATTAGCATGTTGCAGTCGTTTGTAAGGATGAGACCTTGTCAACCAAGGATGTGCATTTGAGTATTTGCCATCAAAGTCTGAGCTCGAATTAACTCTCGAACGACAAGTTTTGGGTTTTATCCATTTTGTACACTCTCTGTGATTTTTTCACTAAACTGATTGTGCAACTCTTGGTCTCGTTCATTCGCTGTCCCAAAACTGTTGTAAGTTCAAGTTGGAATTATAATATTCTTCTTTTCTGCCTCTCAGAGTGGAATGCACCCCTATGTTCTATGGTAATTATTGCTCGTCTGGATGAGTACTATAACCACTCATAATTTGTAAAAACAATTTAGAATCACCCTGCATATATATATATGTGTATGTGCACTTTATGTATGTACTATATATATATATATTTAATGTAGATTTTGATGCATACCAATACAAAATTTTAACTTCTTCTAAGTTTGTGACAAGTCTTTAATAGTTTTATCACAGACATCTGTAGAATTAACATTTCTTGATTTTAATTTGCAATAATTTTACAGTTCCTTTCCTAGGAGATAACCATAAATAAAAAATTGATAATTAAATTTATATATATATATATATATAATTTCTTGTGCAATTTCAAGAATGCTTAATTTTTGCAGATTCAGTAACAATTAAATATAAAAAATATTTTTTAAATAATTTTTTAAATACCTCATTAAAAAACAAGCAAATAAAATGCAATCATAAAAGGAATTGAATTATGCATTAATAAAAAGAAATTATTTTGTGAAAAACTAATTTTAATTGATGAATAAAATTAATGCAATCATGTATAATAAAATTTTAAAAAGTTGCCAAAATCAAAATATAATACTTTCAAAGTTCTTTGTTAAAAAATAATAAAAATGTATTCAGCAAAGCTCTTTCTTAAGAGGATAAACTTAATAAATCTTGTCTGTCATTTTTCAGGCTTCTCTTCAAGTAGAAATGGAAATATTAAATTTTTCACATCAGAGTTGCCCAAAACGCTGTGCAGCCATCAGCAGGTCCCTTGAACACCCGCATCCCTTTTCTACCTGGTACTTTCCTGCTTTATGTTAGTGCGTGGTTCATTGGTTTTGGGAGTTGTTAAATGACATGCCAATCATTCTTTTGAAGTGACTGAATGTAGCTCTCTTATTTGAATGCACCTTCCTTGTCCTTTGTTTAGTGTCAACATTTAGCAACTGATGCTTGCAGTTGCAATCCTAAGGGCAAACTGCACACATTGGGTGAAACCGCACATAGATCCCCAAGGTAGAAGTCATTGTTTAACTTAAATAAGGTTATTTTAATGCTGTAGTATTCTGCTTCGCATGGGAGAAGGAATGTTATCAATGTTTTCATATTTTTTCTTTTGTGTGTGTTTGAAATAAGTTTCAACTTGTTACTTTAATATGCATACCATGCATTATCCAAGTAAACTGATGAGTGTATGGACAAAATGTCATTTAGCCACCTCAAGGTATTCTGAAGTGTGTATTAAATTTCCTGTATTGAGTAAACTATGTTTATGTAAATAAAAAAGACTTCAGTATTACATAAAATTCAATTATGCTTTAATTGAAATACATGAACGTCCATAATCATAGATTGTTTCTGTAATATTGCATCATAAAATCGTTGTTATTTTGTTTGTGTTATAGATTAAAATTATAGTAGCACAGTATTAAAAATTATATGTATCTCAAATGTATATTTGCAGTGCATTTTATTCAAACACTACTTTTTGGAGTATTTTGTAACCAGTATTTGATGTACAAATATAAAGTTTTGTATTCTGAAAATGTGCTTAAATTTGAAACTTATTTTCTTTGAAGCTGAAAATCAAACATAAGGGGAAATGGCACATTATTATTTTTCTTTGCTATATTTTGTTGAATCAATTTCTCAGTCTTTTCCTTACCCCCCTTTTTTTTCCAAGCTATCAATTGCTGAGTTCAATTAAAATTGTTGATTAGCCTCCAATACATTTTTCTTTGTTTTATGTGACTCAAAATTAGTGGACTGTATTTGTTTGGCTTTATGAGATGGGAATAAAGAAATACATATGTCAAGCAGATAGATTGAATTTGTTGTACTAATCAGTATAACAAATTTATAGGCAGAATGTAAATGCATACTTATTTAATAGATCTGTCTGTTAGGGAAATTACATCCATTAGGAAAACACATAATAGTAATTCAGCATTTTATTGCTACAGTTTATGAAGGAATAAAAGTTGGGAGCATCAGGATGAATTTAAAGATTTTTAGCATAATTAATATTTATCAAGTTTCTTAAACTGCCAGATTTTTAATACATGAACAAGCCATTCTGTTAATTCTGCTAAAGTTCATTTACAAATAGTTGAAATCGTTAAATATCTTAAAGAATTTTAAAAATGTAGCCTTTACATCTGTATAAATATCTTTATATTTTGCTGGTAAGTGATATTTTTTTTAAATTTACATCAAATATTGCAAAATTATTTTTAAAACATTATGCTGTTTTTTTTAACAGATTTTTTTTCTTTTATTCTAAAAAATTTTTACCTAAATTAAACAAATTGTGCTTCATATTAATCAGCTGCAATGTTCATTAAACTTTTAGTTTTACTCCTTGTTTATACTGAGATGTAAACTTCAGGGGACATTAAATCCTTTAAAAAATTCTTTACTTAGAAATGAAGCAAATAATTTTCTAGATTAGATAAAATAATAAAAATAAATCATATATTGAACTGAGTAATTGCTAAACACTGATTGAGAGTACATAGGCTGCTTAGTATTTGTAATGTTAATTATTTTCATATGAAACTTTTTATATGTACTTATGTCCAAATTACCTTTATATTCATCAAATCACAGATTTCTCTGAAACTGTAAAATGTATATAAACTTGTGTGGAATGATACATAACATCATAACACATAAAATACAGAGGAAAAAAATTAAGAGCACTGAATGTGATACAAAATTTGTGAAACGATAAAAATGATAGCAATGTGTTATAAGAAGAGTTCAGGGGGGGGGAGAGAATAACTCAGGAAAACTTAAAGGTTATGTATTTAATAAAAAATGTGATCTATCCTGACTTGTACACACATATCACAATGAGTTTTCATGGTGGAAATAATGTTCTTAACTATAGTTTGGAGAAATAAGCTCCACACTTCCAGCAATGCAGTCTTCAGGCTATTTATATCTCTAGAAGGAGGATGTCTCCATACAACAGCTTTTACAAAGTAGCCCCATAAGTTTGCTAACCAATAAAAATCAGGAGATTTTTTTGGCCACAATATTTGTTTAGTGTCTTCACTTTCAAGGAATTTGTCAGTGAGTTTTACTTAGATAAGCATCATCTACCATAATTAAAATGTCTGATCCGTATGCATATCTATCCATATGTAAGTCTTACATGAAGTTCTAAGACATCTCAATAACTCTGGCCAATCACAGATCTGCTACTGAAAACATATAGAGAGATACGTCCATCGATCATTATTCCTCCCCATTCAATTATATTATCATTACCAAAATGCTCACACTCGTAATGTTTAAAGGAAGATTTCATGTTCTTGATTTACTCTAGATTTAGAAACATATAGAATCAAATATTAAACTAAACCTTAAGAGAACATGGTATCCTTAGTGATCACTCCAGTTCTAATGTTATTTGGACCTATTAAAGTGATCATTCTTGTGTTGTGAAGTATGTACCCTTGGTTTTCTGGCACAAAGGTCTTTTTCGTTAAGCCCTCTGTATGCAATTGGCCACGATACAACTGTTCCAGTAACGGCTGTGAAGTCTGAACATTAAGTGTCGAGTATCAGGCAGTAGACTTCTTGTTACAACTGACAGTTATCGCTAGATATTGATCTTGAGAAGGAGTTGCTATTCTTATATAACCTTGTCCAGGGCTCTTTGCAACATTTCCAGATCTCTAGAACTGTTCCCATTGCATTAGGACTGTCTATTTTGAAATGTTTGCTCTTCTTACTGCTTCTATAACTGCTTCATCTCTTTACAGATTCTTCCAGATGATACTACTTTGGAGCCATAACAAATCATTTTGAGTCTTTACATTCTGAAATTAAATGCTGCATTGCAGAAATTCACTCAAATATTCACTTTGCACAAAGTGCTTGGTTTATTATCAGATGGCATATTGGCTTGATTTGCATATAAATAACCATTTCATCACTTTTGATTGAATAATCCTGATTAGGCTTATCTTTTACATTTTCCCTGCAAAAATGGATTTTGGATATTTCATGGAATACCGTTATTTTTGTGTATATAAAAATAAATTTGGACATGAATGTATTTAAAAGCTGCATTTGTAAAAATTATAATACATCTTTAAAAATTGATTTATATATATGATCTTTGCAGCATTAAATGAGTATTTTAATTACTCATTGACTTCAAAATTTGAATTTCTTGCATTGTGGCAATAAATTGCAAATATCTTATTATTAATGAATTTAAATTTAAACAAATTAAATTTAAATTTTAACAAACACGTATAAAAGTAAAAAAGCAAATTTAAAGCCAAAAAAATTTTAAAAATATATATATGTTTAAAATAATGTGTAAACATATAAAAGATTTAATTCTCGAACTAATCTACAATATCATTTAAATTCAGAAGCATAAGCAAATCAAGTGCAAAACCAATCCATTAAAATAAATTCACTAATTTAGCAAATTAAAATTAATCCATACAATTTTTTTAAAACTGCATAAGTGAATGACTGTTGAGCAGGCAGGAGACAGACTTATCAAGGGGAAGTTGCCTCCAAACCTAACTCTCCAATCATTCAATTCGTGTTTCGTCATTCATGCAGGCAAGGGTAAAAGTCAAAACCAAAAAGTAAAAAGTGAAGAATGTCCAAAAAGAAATACCAATAAAGTGGTACCTTAGAAATTAGCATTTAAGAATTAAAGTTTTAAAAGGAAAATACTAATGAAGTCTTTTGAGAAACAAGCAAGTAAAGTCAAGTATTAAATTAAACTTAAAAAGATAGCAGCTTGGCACTCAACTTTAACTACATAAGCGTCATCTATATAATTAATTTGAAGAACACACTTACTTCTCTTTAAAAACACTTTTGCAGACCCCAACGCTCATTTAGTAGGTAAGTTATAATTAAAACTTACTATTTACTTGCTTTAAGTATTGTTTAAAATTTTTCATGTAGTATGTAAATATTTTCTAGATGAAATTATATTTTTAAGTATATATTTGTTTTTTAAAAATTGTAAATTAGTTCTTTATGTTTCTTATTGGTTTATATGGATTATGTCTAGTTCTTTTTTAGTTTCTTTTTATTGATATGCATATTCGTTTCGGGGAGGTTTCTGTAGACAAGGGTTTCTAAAATACATTAGTTTCTAGATTATTTTATAAAAAATTAGTTTTTTTAAATTTTTTTTTTTTTTAAGTTTAATTTAATACTTGCTTGTTTCTCAAAAGACTTCATTAGTATTTTCCTTTTTAAACTTTAATTCTTAAATGCTAATTTCTAAGGGTACCACTTTATTAGTATTTCTTTTTGGACATACTTCACTTTTTACTTTTGGTTTTGACTTTTACCCTTGCCTGCATGAATGACGAAACACGAATTGAATGATTGGAGAGTTAGGTTTGGAGGCAACTTCCCCTTGATAAGTCTGTCTCCTGCCTGCTCAACAGTCATTCACTTATGCATTTTTTAAAAAAAATTGTATGGATTAATTTTAATTTGCTAAATTAGTGAATTTTTTTTCGTGGATTGGTTTTGCTCTTGATTTGCTTATGCTTCTGAATTTAAATGATATTGTAGATTAGTTTGAGAATTAAATCTTTTATATGTTTACACATTTTTTTAAACATATATATATTTTTAAAATTTTTTTGGCTTTAAATTTGCTTTTTTACTTTTATATGTGTTTGTTAAAATTTTAATTTAATTTGTTTAAATTTAAATTTCATTCCTTGCAGCAATGGCACAAAGAATTATTTAATTAAATTTGTATTTAAATTCAATTTATTCTTTTGAAACAATTATTATTAATGAAAATGGATTTTGAAAATATACTTAATGTTTTATATAATTTATCAAAATTGATACGTATATTACATGTGTTTTCTTAAGTGTCTTGTTCTGTAAAATCTTAGATTCAGAAGAATCTGATATTTTCATTATTTAAAAGACTGAATTTTAACAAATCTTGAAATGTTAACTGAGAGAATATGATTTCATGTAATTGTCTCCCTAATGTGCATATTTAGTTTGAAAAATTAATTTTTGAGATATATAAATGTTTATTTTTATTATACTTAAGTATATTTTAATTTTATACCAAAGAATAATAATTTGCTGTCAGCCATATGTGTTATGTCAGTCGTGCTAGTTAATATTAGTGTGATCCAAAGAACATTGTGTATATGTGTGTATACAAATTGCTGAATTTATGTATCAAAATTATTTTTTATAAAATGAGCTGTTATTTGTTTTGTGAAATTAGCAATGTATTCTTAACTGCTTAAATTTTTTCCATTGCTTTGTGTTGAAATATTTGTTTTCTGAGTTTAAGTGTCTTTTTACATATGATGTAATAATTATCAATGCTTAGAACTATGTCTGCAAATATTTTACTTATTCATTACAAAAAAAAAAAAAATCAGTATTCATGAAGTTTTGCATAATAATATGCATGTATTAGTAATTAAAACTCTGTAATGAGTAAAATGTCTGCAAATGCATAGTTGGACATCTGTTTGTATAGTTTTTACTGCATACAAAAGTAATCTTTTTTTTTTTTTTTTTTTTTTTTTTTTTTTTTTTTTTTTTTGTGTGTGTGTGTGTGCATGCAAAAATATTTAGCTAAAACAATTTCTTTTAAAGGTAACTTTTTAATCAACATTCATATATATTACTAAAATATATTGTATGTATAAAATAATTCATTTGTGTGTTCATGTACATATAACATTCATTTCTAAAAAAGAAAAAAAAATGCATCAAACATTTGTAAATAGCTTTTCTAATGAATGATTTATTTCTTTGTATATTGAGATATAGATTAAATGTAGTTATTAAGTGATCTAGTCATGAAATGCCTTATAATGTTGTATATTGCTGAGTGTTTATATAGTCTCAACCAAAACTGGATTACTTTTGAAGATTTACCTATTCCCAACTTTGCATGCCTATACAAAATCTTTTGTCACTGAATGGAATTGTTCATATATAAACGGAGTGTGATGTAAAACTCAAAATGAGAAAGAGAATTCATATGTCTCTATTGTGAAATGGTTATGCTGACTTATTTAAACACAGGTATGATTCAGTTAAAAAGTTGGCGGAAATTGTAAACTTGCTTACTATTACAAACTTTGTAGTTTTGAAATGAATCAAAGAGCTGCTATAAATCACATTTTATGCTGGAGAACTGTACAAAAACATGCAGAATTTTTGTTGTACAGAGATCTTGTTTTTCCTGTGATAAGAGTGAATAAATGAGATAATGACTAAATGATAAATATAAATATTTTATTTGCATAAGAAAATAAGTCCCTAAGAATGAGAAGAAAATGTTAGAGAATAGAAGCAAAATCATTTAATAAAAAAGTTTTATAAGCATGCAAAGTACAAAACATGGAAGTTTTTAAAAGTTTCCTCAGTTTCGGCCACCACTGTATTGCTTTAATATTACAAAGTATTATTTTAAATATTGTTACTATTCTGTATGTGTGATTAACATCACATTAGCATTTGGAAACAATCTGTATCTGTCTTGGTATGCTGACTGAGCATTTTAGTATAAGGTCAAGAAATGAAAATAATCTTTTAATGATTAAAATTAACCTTTTTAATAATATTTCAAATTTTATTGCAGTTTCTTGACTATTGTTGTAATCACAGTTAGAAAAAATGTATAAAAATAATAAAGATTATGATAGCGAAAGAAATATCCTTTGATTACAAATTTAACAGAGATGAAATAAAAAAAAAAAAAAAAAAAGGCTGGGAAAAAAAATATCTCACACAATGTCCTTATATATTTTTTAAGGTTATCAAGCAATCATCAGTTGTAACAAGAGCTCCTAACCAAAAGCCTGTGCTTTCTAATCTTATGCCACTATATTAATATAATTCTTATGTTCTTTAATATTGCAGTGCTAATTAGTACTAAAAGCCTAATAAAGAATTTTATAAGTTGTAAAGTATT